AACAAAAACGAGAAGACACAAATTATGATTTAGAAAAGACACGTTAGACTCCCCCACTCAAGACGGCTTTATTATTCTAACAGAGTGATTAACTTATGGAATACCAGCGAAAGTACCCGGCTTCGTTAGGGCTATGTCAGTGTGTGTATTCTGAACATATTTTAGCATAGAAGAACAGTAGAAAATATTTTAAACATTTTTATTTCCCAGAAACATAAAAACACTTATTTTCTCTATGTGGTTTTTTCGCTAGCTTGTCTCATTAAAAAGATGCGCACCCGCATGCGTGCACGTACGTAGCCTACGATAATTATAATTTAACATTGTCTCCTTATCTAAGAAAGGATATTCATTTATTGCAAAGCACTCACAGGAGGGTTGCTAGATGATTCCAGGAGTGGAAATTATCTTGCAAAGACAAAATTATGAGAACTTTAACTTATTTTATCCTCGGAAAATATTTAAAAGAAGGTTAAGAGGTGATTTTATTGAGACTTACAAAATGATTCCGAGGGTAGAGATGATAAAGGTGACTTACTGCTTTGTGCTAAATTCGGAAGATAATGAATTGATTTTATTATACAATAAGTATTATTATAAATTGATTTTATCATACAATAATTATTATTATAAATTGATTTTATTATACAATAATTATTATTAATATAAATTGATTTTACTATACAATAATTATTATTATAAATTGATTTTACTATACAAGGTGTTATTTTTCTAAAAGGTGGTTGGCCTTTGGAATGGGTTACCTTCAGATGTTGTAGAGGCAGTACATTTAAGTGAGTTTAAGAAAAAGCTTGATAAGTATATGAGTGAAAAGGGCTGGCTAGTTTTAGTTTAGTTTTGAGGATGAGACAGCCGAGATGGACCAACAGGTCCCATATTGTCCCAAAACGTTATGTTAACATGTATCTTAAGTATGATAATAATTTATTCTTTGGTAAGGTCCAAAAAATAGCAAACCCACAACACTCAAAATGTACCATGAAGGGTTTTTAAAAGTTGATAAACTACATTTCGTGTTTACTCTAAATAACATCCATAGATAAATCTTGATTGGCAGTACGACTTCATTGATAATTAATGCAACAAAGTAATTACTAACAAATTATCTATAGTGATTTACGTTTAGTCCACATTCTTCTCAGCTTCAGATTTTGTGTCCAAATTAAAAGAATTACTTAAGTAAAACACCTTATTAACAGTTAAAAACAAAGGAACAGGTTTACAGTTTTTTGCTTCATCTCACTACCTTTACTGTTAATGTTAGTATGTCAATACTTCAACACTGTGGACTTTCTTACCAGTGTTCCAAAGACCACAATACATGTACTTCTGCAGAATCATATCTCTTTCCAATATTCTCTTTGTGCAGAAAATGCTACTCTTCCCTGAACATCACATTCTGCGGGGTTCTTGAGAATATACTTGTTAAAAATGTATTTCCTCGTCTTGCTAATGTCATCAGTCAAGTATTTCAGGGATTTTTAAATATAAAACATCTCTTTCAGTGAGCTTTTATCTCGATCCACTGCGAGTCCGATGTTATAGGGCTGTTGTTATGGTTTTTAGCATAAAGCTACCCAAGGAACTATCTGTGTTCTGTCTACCATGGGACACCAAACCCCAGATTTTAGCATTGTAAGTCTGTAGACTTTACACTGACCACCAAGAGACTTTCCTTGTATCTGTCCATTAATATATGTACTCCACATTCACAGTACATGGTTAACATCTTTTGTAGTTTTTCTAAAACTCCAATCAACATCACATAAAGATTTGACTCAAACTGTCAAAGAGACTTGTTAATTTTCCGTTTAATATTTAAATGGTAATTTCCAACACACTATATTCACCGTACTGGATAGAGTTTAGAAAAAAAAAGAGCAACCATCCCTTTTATACATAGATGTATCTGCATATAAAACTATAAATGTGTAAATCTCACATTTTTTGTCTGGTACAGAAAGTTCCAGAGAAACTAGACAATCATGTGTGACAACGTTGCATTATTTTGTACTTAGACATTTTGAAGAATATAAAAATCTACTGTGCTTAATCATTTGTGGCTTTCCTATTAAACTGTTCAATTAATTAAATGTAGCATATACACTATACAGTCACGGCTATAGTGAGAAATTTGAAAATTTTGATGATTTTCTGACAGTTTTAACTACAGTGGTTTTAATAATTGGCACAACAAATCAAAACTATAGAAGCTACGGAATATTCTAAAACGCTTAATATTGTATATATATTATGTACAGGATAATAACATTAAACTTGAGGTAAAGCCTGTCGAAATATTGACATGGCGTCAAACTGAAACTCCTGTGGTCCAAGGCTAAACTAAGTTTAATATTGGAAAATAGTAGAAGTATTACTAACTATAATATGACTTTAATTTCCACGAACAGCCAGCTAAACAAAAATAACCAGTTTCTTATTCGCGCCCACATCTAGAACTTAGAAATATCTCTGGTTTTTGTCGCTGTTTGGTTGTTGTGCGCGACCTGAGAGGGTCAGCCAGTCAGGTCATCTCGACCTTATCCGCCCCCTGCATTTGTTTGATTGCCACTGTAGAATATTTTTCTAATTACAACATGAGGTTCAGAGATTTTGGGACATATCCATGTATAGTAAAAACTGGATTTTTACAAAATGCCCGCGTTTATTTTATAGTGTCTGATCGAAGCGCTACCTATAAAAAGACTTGAATTATACAATGATTATTATTATAAATTGATTTTATTATACAATGATTATTATAAATTGATTTTATTTTATTATAAATTGATTTTGCACTGCCTCAGAGGTGGATATATAATATACCAGTGATTGTGAAAATTATGTAACGTTTCTGATATTTTATGATCATTTTCACGAGAGTGAAAATCGAGAAATGACAGTCACCTTATAATTAATGTTCTCGGAAAAAGTTGTTGCACCTTCTTCACTAGTAAATATCACTCCACCTAACACAATATCTGGAACACTTCTGTAAAATTCTAGAAGTGACGACTCAGACGAGAAGGCTGAAAAATAGAGAATACACATTTCACCACTTGTACGAGTTTAAAATTTAAAGGTAACAGACTATAAACAATATAAAATATTGTCACTAATCTTGAAGGTTTCTTTAAAATATATATATATAGACAAGCTCCCCTTATAGACATTAAAATCTGTTAATAGATCACTTAATATTAATCAGTTTGTCCTCATGAAATTGTTTTATTTATTTTGAAAACATAATTAGTCAAACTAAAAGAACTAGTAAGAAAATTATAATAAGTTATGAATTATTAAAAAAATATTAAAACTTCAAGGTTTTACGAATGGGTTAAAACTTGAATACTTACCCTTGATGGTATAGTTTGATATAGAAACTAACTTCAAGGATTATGGATGGGTTAAAACTTGAATACTTACCTTTGGCGGTAAAGTTTAATTTCGAACACACAATGTTCATTACTTCATGAATATGTGCAAGGTTTGGTGCATAGGCCAAGATCCAAGTAGTGGATTCATTTTGTGATATTTTAGTATTTGTCCTGTTGACTTTCAAGAACTCTATTTGTGATGATTTACCCATAGGCTTCAGGTTGGCAGGTAAGCTATCAATGCTGAATGGTGGGTATATTGTCGAGTTATTAATAAGTTCTGAATTTACTCTCGTTCTTATGAACACCAAGAGTAATGCAAACATGGTTGGAACACCAAGTTCAAAAACAGTCACCCACGGATGACGTAACTGAAGTTTAAAGTTCTTACACAAAAGAAGACTAAATTGTTTCAGTCTTATCATCTTGGTAGTGAAAAAACCACAACTGTCTTCACCTAGAAACAAGAAAAAATGAGTATTTTTTTTTTTGCAAGAAAACTATATTTTTCATCCATCATTATAAAAAAAAACATATTAGGCAATAACTAAAAAATGTTATTACTGCATACAGTAAATGTAATATATATATAAGATGTGGATCAAGCTGTGAGTTAAACATATATGGGAAATCTTAAAGAGGAAACCACTGGTACTCTCTAATTAAATAGTCAGTAGTTACTTTAGTAGTTATTATTTCTTGTAATCATAGGTATTGTGGAACGTAAATTGATTTTATTATTCAATAATTATTATTTTAAATTGATTTTATTATACAATAATTATTATTATAAATTGATTTTATTATACAATGATTATTATTATAAATTGATTTTATTATACAATAATATGGGAACTTGTAATTTTGTACCACCACAAAAAGCGGGTAATCCTCCACAGACTGCCCAAAGGTTACTAATTTCAGGTTTCAGATAAATAGTGAAAGAATAAAATGTCTTTCTGTTTCTTTATCGTGTATTGAAGTATATAAACATACCAATCATTTTTTACCTTCTTGTATTAATATAGTATTATTCTAAATTTATCAGGTATTAATTTATCAGGTATTCTGAACACGAGCACTTCTAGCGATCCATCGAAAACACACACCAGAAGTTTTCTAATAAGATCTAGTGCCAGAAATACGACTTCTAGTGATCCATTGAAAACACACACCAGAAGTTTTCTAAGATCTAGTGCCAGAAATATAGATTTTCAAAGGTAAATCAATAATGCAAACTGAAAAGGTAAGTATCTTCTGAATTTCAAGAATGAAAAAAGTTGTTTCTTATTTAAAGATATAATATTTTTAAAATTAGGGAAGTTAGAAACACCACGTACCTTTTGTCTAAAGTACATTTGCAATGAGACAAGTTTGATACTATCTTAAATATTATACACATTGTTAAAATACAGTTGGGATGAGTGACAGAGCCAAGTTTGATACAAGTTGTCATTTTAAAACACTTCTAAAGTGAGAGGAAACAAAATCTATTATCTTCAAAATATTTTTTTTTATTCTTCTGAAACTGAGTTTCAAATGCATTATCTTTAATCTTCTCAAAGTTTTTTTTTTCAGTGTTAAATATTAATGACTTTCTTACTTTCAGTCGTCTTTCTTTTTCAATCACAAGGTTTTTCACAATGTTCAGTGCTGGATAGATGAAACTCAAAATCAAAATCAACGGGAAAAAAAACTGCAAGGCAAAAAGGAATGGATCACTCTTATAGGGGGGGTAGGGATATCGTTGCATCTGTACTTTAAAGGAGTCGACAACACCCGAACCTTTCACATATTCTGCAATAGCCATGACAACAGCGTGTTGGATGGTCAGAAATCCTTCTGCCATGTACCCTGTCAAAAAAATAGTCAAAATGTGAGATATTGGTTCAATAACCTATGACCAACTGTTCAGATTTCTTTGCATATACCCTAGTAACATGTAAAGTTTATCAAAAGTTTGTATACAGAACCAAATAAATACATGAAAACAGGAAATTCACTGTCAATGTCAACTTGTTGCATCAAGATTAACACTTTTTGCCTTTGTATTGTCCACTAGGGGTCACTACCAATAAATAATTTAGTAAAAGTTGATGAATTCGTTAAAAGATTCAATCACCGTTTTTACAGTTTCTTACGTAAGTTAATTAAGACTGTTTATTACTAACTTTAATAAAGCATGGTAACAGTTAAATTACTTTTAATCGTTTAAATGTTTTTTTTAAACAGTAGTAAATCAACAGAGAAACACTTGTCATATTTTTTTTTAAAATACCTGGTTTGGCACCCCATGTATTTTCTTTCTCTCTAGGGCCTACTAGTTGAAACACGGGAAACGTCAAGTCAGTTTTCCAACTTCCCATTCCATTACCTACCCCGTTCTTCATGTATCGAGGTGTTGATTTTAATCTTATCTGGAAAATTATTTTAAGTATATTTAACACAAATCTACAGCTTCTAAAACAGTTTTCGGAAATGCAGATCAAAAATAGCAGTAATAGTACATTTGCTGTTATGTTAAACTTATATTAAAGTTTTTCTTCATTACCCATTCAAGCCGTCTCCAGCCATTATTAGTCTCAAAGTGGGTTCCTCGTCATCGAATTTGAATACATAAACTATGTTTAACTAACGTATAGATAACTAGTATGAAAATAAGCATCAGCTTTCAGAAAATATTCCCACACACACCCCTTCAACAGACAGCATGTTTACGCACAAACATTTCTCTTTAATTAAAAAAATCATCTATCACCGATCATCTGTAAATGAGATGTCGCATTAACACACAATGATGACTGTCACACTTCTCCAATGTAGATGACGATAGGGGGTGTCTGGCACGATGAACACAACAAAATATTTTCACAAATAACATCCTTCTTCATAAAGGCATGTATGTATCTCCCTTTACAGCGTGCAGATACCAAATTATATATGATGGGAAAAAAAACCAAAGACAATTGTACATTTTACAGAGACATTCATTTATTCACTACCTCGGTTTTGACGGTAAATGCATCATCGTGGTCGTGAATAAATGGAATTTTTGTTAAATGTACAATTGTCTTCTGTAATTATGGAGTTTCACCAAGTACTGACAATTTCAAGCTACTAGAAACAGTTAATAATCCATATGACTGACTAACTATAAGCCTGACATATTGATAGCACAACAAGCTCTCTTATTAAACATACGTAGAAATGTTAGTAATTAAACGTGATAAAAAAGGACAACTTTATTCTGAGACAAAAAAAAACAGGTAGGAAAGTCTACAGAATCTTTAATCATTACTATAACAAGTTATGAAGCAAAACTTAGAAGAAATGTGCTCTTTCACTGCCATGTTGAAGGTTTGTTTTTAAATACAACTTTATCTCAGAGCCCAAAGAATAATAGAAGATTCAGCAAGATATTCTATTCTGAGTTTCCTGAGATTGAAATAAAGTAAACTACAATGTTCCAGCAGCAACTCCACCCATAAAAATAATAGGTGTGGTCTCAATGTAATCATTAAGGAACAAAGGTAGCTAAAAATGAAATAAACTTAACAGATTTCTTGATTTTGGGGTGGATAACAGTGTCAAAGATGCTGCAGACTTACAGGGAGATTTAGATCATTTGATGCATTGAGCCAATACGTGGCAGATGATGTTTATCTATCCAAGATGTAAGGTGATGCATGTAGGTTTTCACAATTCAAATTATTGTTATAATTTAAATGGGAATACATTAAATACTGTGGTTGATGAAAAAGATCTTGATGTTGTGATTGAAAAATCACTTAAGTCATCAAAACAGTGTATTGTAGTTAGTAATAGGGCTAATAGGATTTTAGATAGCATCTATAGAAATATTGAATACAAGACAAGGGATATTATTGTTTCACTGTATAGATCACTTGTAAGGCCTCATTTACAGCAGAGTGTACAGTTTCGGGCTCCCTTCCTCAAGAAGGACATTGAATTGTTGGAGAAGGTTCAGAGAAGAGCCACTAGGATGGTACCTGGGATGGTGAGATTATCCTACGAGGAGAGACTAAAATCTCTAAACTTGTTTTCTCTGGAGAGGAGAAGGTCAGAAGGGATTTGATTGAAGTGTTTAACATTTTTAAGAGTATTGATAATACAGAGCCATCAAACTTTCTTTGTGTTTAGCAGTGACAACAATAGAACAAGGGGTCATAAATTCAAATTTTGGTAGTGTAGGAGTCGTCTTCAGTTTAGACAGAAATGCTTTTAAAACAAGGTGGTTGGATTTTGGAATGAGCTGGTGGTGGAGGTAGAAGATTTAACTGAGTTCAAGAAAAGATCGGAAGAATACATGATTAGTAAGGGAGTTATAGTTATAGTTGGGAGCTGGAAGGGAGATCCTGGATGGGCTAATAAGCTCCTTTTTTGAACCTTTAAAATTTTTTGAAATTTTTTTTATGAAATCACGTGCCTAGTGAAAACTCGTATTTCTGGCACTAGATCTCAGAAAACTTCTGGTGTGTGTTTTCAATGGATCACTAGAAGCCGTATTTCTGGCACTAGATCTCAGAAAATTTCTGGTGTATGTTTTCAATGGATCGCTAGAAGCCGTATTTCTGGCACTAGATCTTATTAGAAACTTCTGGTGTGTGTTTTCAATGGATCACTAGAAGCCGTATTTCTGGCACTAGATATTTTCAAATACCAGATTAAGTGTGTTATATTAAAACAAGTTTGAAACTTTAACAGATCAATACAGCCCATATCACCATGTCTGATGACGTACATCTTGACAATAGCCCTAGAGTGTAGTTAACAATAGGGGATAGGGTTTGAGAAGTTCGGGATAGGCATTAATCGGCATAATGATTGTAAAACATGTCAACATTACTGTTTCTGCGTTTACTTTCACTGGCCTCAGAAATCACACGCAATTGGTATGTAACTTTCAATCTTTCTATTTAAATAAAAATTAAATTTCAAAGTTGTAAATTTCGTTAGTTTTCCACCCTATATATTGCTATTGCCCCCAGGCATTTTCAACTCAGTTCATCACTGCTTCTCACTATCATGTAAAGTTCAAAAACATATTTTAACTTGCTATTTTAGTCATTTTTCATTCCAACAGTAAACACAGCCAGCTTGGTCTGGAGATATTTTGTGTTGGAAAACAAGGTGGATCGTTTCGCAAGGGGCACCCTTTGCTCCACCATGATATCTAGGGGTGGCACGTCACCCAAGACATTTGGAACCAAATCATTGTGAAATCATCTCGCTTCATTTCATAAAGATTAATTCACAACCATGCAGAGTGACGAAAACAAGAACAAGAAGAGAAAACGTGACAACGAAGATGCCGCTGCTGAAATTTCGATGGCCAAGAGGAGTAAAATGAAACTCTCGAGCGTCGTTGATTACTCGTGCCATTCGGTTAAATGTAATAAACGTCAATTTTGGTTTGGTTTCTAATTTTTGTATATTTTGTTTATTTGTTGTTGTTGTTTGTTTTTGGGGGGAGCGAGGGGGAGAACTCGGTCCCGGCCGAAGCTTAGTGGCCGGGCATCCAGACCCAGTATTTGGGCAAATATTAATACCCGTGCATCCCTACTTTTCATTACTGTCTGGAGAGTAAAAATTATATTTTACAACCTTTTATATATAAATATGTAAATAGACAGATATAGATATACAGCTTTGATTACTCATGAAAGTAGAATCACCCTTACCTTTAGAAAAAAGTGTACTGATCAGAAAACAGAAACAAATAGTAGTAAGGATGTACACAAAGAGCAAAAAGAAAACAAGAAACGGGTTGCTCTTATCCAGCACACCAATCCCACGGGTCACCTTGACAGTCAAAAGGATAGTAATGATGATAATGCTAATAAGCAAAAATAACAGGTACTTGGTATACCACGCTAACCAGTGTAGCCACGTACTCAAGCCCATCATTTTCATTGATTCCTGTAACATTATAATTAAAGCAAATATATATAGAATAATTCAAGACATCCCTGGAATAGGAAATAATGTACAGAAATACAAAACCTCAAGCTTATCTTGAGAAAGACGAGGATCTAAAGCTATGCTGTAAAAACTTAAGAAGGGGAGTTTAAATGTAGAATAATACTTGTAGTTTACACAAACTATTAAAAATACGATTTTCTTTTTCCTATCTGATTATTGAACACACAATTTAACCTATTGTTAATAATGAACCGAATCATTAAGATACACATATTTTAATACATAAATATTGATTTAACATGAATTATTAGGAAGTACATTATATCAAAACAATTTTAAATATGTAAATCGTCACACAATAACTACAAGCATTATAAAGCAGCAGTGGAACAGAATGTATAAGAACTATATTTTAACATTGTTTGGCTTTATGTAACAGCTCATACCAACACAAATTATTCAAACATTCACTTAATCAAATGTGTTCATATCAAGGATTCAGAATTACCTAGAAGAAAACAAAGGAATATGGATCAACTTGCGGTACCAGGACCATCCAGAAAGAGACTTGCAATAAGTCATACCCCAGCCATGGTAAGCAAAATGTGGTGACTTTGTAACAGGTGAGAATCCGTGAATGCAAGGGACAGTAGAAAAAGCCATCCACATGCTCCAGTCAACAGTACACAACATAATAAAAAAGGTATCTTCATCTGAAAAAGCAACACAAAGTCACATGTTGTTTCCACAACACATCTATTCAACTGTCACATACCTCAAGCACCTAAAGAATCAAATGAGGAGCCATGTTATTTCATATAAATACATATCAGTCAAGTCACCAGACACGATGCCTATGAATTTCTGTGGGATCGGAAACTGTGGCATTATTTGGACATGACGGTCTCAAAACAGAGCATTCTGGAATGGGAGAACAATAGGGGTTAATAACAGGCGTGGCTTGAGAAGTGGATTTCTGGGTCAGGTGTGGGTTTTGAGAACAATAGGGGTTAATAACAGGCGTGGCTTGAGAAGTGGATTTCTGGGTTAGGTGTGGGTTTTGAGAACAATAGGGGTTAATAACAGGCGTGGCTTGAGAAGTGGATTTCTGGGTTAGGTGTGGGTTTTGAGATTATTATAAATAAAAACTAATAGTAATACATGTAACATAAAATATATTATTATAAATAAAAACTACTGGTAATACATGTAACATAAAACGAAATGTTACTTCCTACCACTAGCAACCTACCATCAACGGAAAATACCAAGGTTGAGGAACCCCATATTCCCAAAGAACATCCCATTAATTAGGTTTAAATAAAAGTTACACAACTCAATAAAACATTACTACCTCCTGAGAGTCTGAGAACAACATTTGTACAAAAACCTACCATCAACGGGAAATACCAAGGTTGAGGAACCCCGTATTCTCCAGGAAAAACAGCTTCAATGTACAGTGCGAGTACTGTGTATAAAACAGCATCAAGGAGGAACATTAGGAAAATTAGCTGGAGTGTGAGTGGATCATCGGGAGATGCCGAGGTTGAAATATTGTCCCATCGAGCACCAGCACCTATAACGACAACAAAGGAAAAACTGGTTAATTAATCCATGTAAACCAGTGTTACTACAGCAGTAATATAGAAGTCCATTACAGTTCTCTCTCTCCCTCTCCAAACTGAGATGTCATGACATGTTCTCTTTCTCTCCAACGAGTCATGACATGTTCTCTCTCTCTCCAAACTGTTACGAGTCATGACACTAAAATATGTAAATCAACATCTCATAGTTAGTATGTTTAACATCAACATTTTCTATAATGAATAACAGACACACACACACAAAGCTAAAAGAACCTAATGATACTACCCTCTGGAGGATATTAAAGAAACTAAATTCTTATTGCAAGATCTTTTTTACTTCTGCACAAATTACACTTAATTTTAAATATTTACCCTAGTAAATTAGAGGTGAATTATTTCATGACAATCTAATAAGTTAAGTTTCCTGCAAGAGGTGTATAATTTAAGAGCTAAAAATCAGCAGTGTAGGTGAAAGCACAGACAGCAACATACATACATCACACAAGACAAAAATCTGGGTACCAGTTCAATAAGGTACCTATCGTGAACAACCCGAAGACTTGTATACATTTGAAACTTCCTAAAAATGATATTTTCACCAAATTACCGCTGGCTTTCCATAACATTGATATTCTCACAGTGTCGGAAATAAGTGGTACAGTCACGTGTTTTGCATATTTAACACTATAAAAAGTTGACGATTCTTTTAGAAAACAATAATATATATATATACATAATGAAGTTTGACATACAAGTACTAACATCCATATTTTCCATAAAGGTACCTGACGTCATAAGAACACGTATTTTCAATAAGTCTCGATAAAAACCCTATAACCCGAGCAATTACAAAAGGTGGACCTGTCTTCTTCAGGGGCAGATAATGGTTTGTTTGTGCCCCTGCACCTTAACAATACTTCTATAGCAGTGTTTTTCCACAAAATCAGATATCTCCAGATGAGATCCGCTTACTCCTCTTGCGAACCTTTCCACAATGGAAGAGTCCATTAGAATGAAGGGGGATTAAACAGGTTAAACGGAATTGTTACGATTCCACTTTTCTCATGAAAACAGCTGTTGATTTTGGGGTTTAGCGTATAAACATCTGACTTGTGAGCAATCACCAGCGTCAAATTATTGTCGCTTAACTTATTAGGGGTAAAAGGTTTTTTTCGTTTAAAGGATTTTTCTTTCGTTACCACAGTCAGTTTCCATTGCTGTCCTAAATGTACTGTTGCGCACGCTTTTCCAATTCCAAGGAAAACTATGAGACTTGGTACTTCCAAATGCTCTGTTATAAGTTGAACAATTTTTCTATGTTTTTCTCTTTGATAAGAGTGGCCATATATTCCGCTGATGAAGTCTTGAAGATGCTTTAAAAATCATTGCACTTAGCTTTTATGCGCTGGTCAGATGCAGAGACGGACTGGCCATTGTGCCATGGCACGTGGACCCCCTCCTACAAAATGCATGGGTCATACATGACTGTCAGTGCTGGTGGGATGGTATGGGCTCTAACTCGTAATGAAATGGCACGGACCCCAAAAAGGGCCCAGTCCACCTCTGGTCAGATGCAGAGACGGACTGGCCATTGTGCCATGGCACGTGGACCCCCCTCGTACAAAATGCATGGGTCATACATGACTGTCAGTGCTGGTGGGATGGTATGGGCTCCAACTCGTAATGAAATGGCACGGACCCCAAAAAGGGCCCAGTCCACCTCTGGTCAGAGGCATGTTTATCACATGATTATGTAATACTAAATATAAACTATATATATATTAACTAGTGTTAATAGCAACTTTTTTATAAAGGTAGTTAGACTTTACTTAGCTGACCAGTTTGGTCCAATGCTACAACTTACCAGTTCCTTCCCACATCGCCAACTGGATGGAACTAAGAGCCAGGGCAGTATTGGAGAGCAAGCATGTGGTCAGTTTCTCGGTGAAAGTCAACTCATTATATCGGGGTTGGATGAAGAAGTAAGGAATGAAGGCAAGAAAAAAAATAATTCCTGCTCCTGCTGCTGCCGAATTAGCTGAAAATACACATAGGCTACTGTGTATTCTTGTTTTTATCTGTAGAAGATCACACTTACTATTAAAAGTACCGATTAAATTAGTTACACGTATCAATGGATAACATACATGCATGTATATTAAAAGTACCGATTAAATTAGTTGCACATATCAATGGATAACATACATGGATGTATATTAAAAGTACCGATTAAAAATAGTTGCACGTATCAATGGATAACATACATGGATGTACATTAAAAGTACCGATTAAAAATAGTTGCACGTATCAATGGATAACATACATGGATGTACATTAAAAGTACCGAGCACGTATCAGTCTGCACTAATAAATATGTAAACTGGGAATCTTGTATCCAACACGTATATTAATCGGCCCTAGATAACGTTTCTTCAATAACACAGATCTAGCTAACATGTTTTTGTTTTGTTCCAACTAATTCTGTGAGTGTTTTTTTTCATCATTTTTTGAATGAAGTGATATATAAAAGGACGAGTACTTAATTCATAATTTATACGCACAACAAGACATGTATACGTTTATTTTGTTTTTGTAGAGCATACTGGAAGGATTTAGATATTTTGGTAATAAAGTTAGAAAAAGAAAATAAAAAAAAGACCTTATTGTCCAGATCATAATAAATACTTTTTATATCAGCCAATGTTTCGCCATTGCAGATTTTTCACGGATAGTAGCACAAAACTATAAGCTGCTGCACTGGTCACTGACCCCTCCACCTGTTTAATGCAGGATTCTAGTTTTTTGTGAGAGGAGGTAAGACATCGTATCGGAAGTTAACGTTTTCCTGAACTGAAATTGTATTTCCTTTAGATACTTACCTTCTCTCACATTTCCCACCCGTCCTCCCCATCTCTGGTAGGGTTTGGTTGGAAACTGACCAATCTCAAAGCGGTTAATACTTGCAAGATTAGAGAGGGGGCTAGTTATAATAGGGGTAGTGCCACATTCCTATTGGTGCAGGGTTGCTGCATAACCACTTGCGTGTTAGTATGTAGATATTTCACGTCAACATACGTGAGGGTAAGCGGGAATATCAAGGTTAGTGACAAACACAAATTTGTGCCAATAGAGGGCAGTAAAAGTCAAGTAAAGCACTGTGTGAAGTGAGAAGAGTTAGGTATCTATCGGAAATACATTTTCAGTTTAGGAAAATGTCAACTTTTGAATTATGCAGGCAGGCTTTACTGCACGGCAACCCGGCCAGATATTCGGCTGCAGCCAAAAATTGGGCTACCTGGTAATACTTGGCTCCGGCCGAATGTCGAAGTTAAAAACAGCTGAATCCAGTCAATTGGAAATGGCATCTAAGCCCTAATCTTTGTGGCAACTAATGTGGTACTGAAAGTTACAGTCAATAATTGGTTTAGTTAAAAAAAGTGTTTCCGAGCAACAAAGACTGATCGCCCACTGAAAGTAGGGGGATTCAGTAACATAAAATATGGTAATACATTATATTATTATAAATCAAAACTAATAGTAATACATGTAACATAAAATATATTATTATAAAGACAAACTACTGGTAATACATGTAACATAAAATATATTATTATAAATCAAAACTACTGGTAATACATGTAACATAAAATATATCATTATAAATCAAAACTAATAGTAATACATGTAACATAAAATATATCATTATAAATCAAAACTAATAGTAATACATGTAACATAAAATATATCATTATAAATCAAAACTAATAGTAATACATGTAACATAAAATATATCATTATAAATCAAAACTAATAGTAATACATGTAACATAAAATATATTATTATAAATAAAAACTAATAGTAATACACGTAACATAAAATATATTATTATAAAGAAAAACTACTTTTTATGTTACATGTATTACCGTAACATAAAATATATTATTATAAAGGTAATACATGACAAACTACTTTTTATAATAATATATTTTATGTTAC